GAAGCCTTGGAGGGCACGCTTGTAGTATAGTTCTAAACTTTCCTAATTGGAACCGGCATCTCTCAGAACTCAGCCGAGAACTGATTCCAGAGAGTCAAAAAGACTATCTTGGTGAGAGGGCGCCGACGAGCAAGTGTGTATGGATACAGCTGTCGACAGGGGGGCGGAGACACCAGTGACACAAAGTAGTCACAAACGCGTAACTTTTTTGTCCCGCACCTCCCGAATGGCGAAGGTGTATGCCTCCGGCATGCTTTACAGCTACGCATCTACCCGCATGTACACGAAAAAGAATCTCATATTTCAGTTAATTGTGGAATATGTCTTGAAGTCATTGCTAATTAGCTGATGATAAGCTTACCTGTAAAGTGAAGGTATTCTGCTTTGAAGATGGCCTCCTTCCAGAACCACGGCCAGGCGCTCTGCTTCTCAACAAGAATCTGCTTGGAGGACGTCGGGTGAATGCATTTTGCCGTTGTAGAAGCGGTCTAAACGACGGCACTGGACGAATCGTGGTGGTCACCAGAACCGTCGTTGGTATCATAGTGGTCGACGACGTGCTGACGATCCTAGTTGTGAACGGTTCTGAAATAAATAATTAAAACGTTGTGAAAGCCGTGGAACCGAGAAAGAGGGTCAGAAAAGAACTATTTTGACCTTTAACCCACTAAAGTTACTCATACAACGATAGGACTTTTACGAAAAAATGTTCAAAGGTAGTGGGCCAACATTTCTCTTGTTCGTTTGGGATGAATTGTCAGGCTGGAAAGTCTATGCAAACAATTGGCACATCATTGCGATGAGAGACAAGCAACACTAGGTTCCAACGCCTTTGCTCGAATCCCACCCACCAACAGACGCGTCAGCCGCAGACCTTTATCCGTCAGACTCAACGCGGCGCCGCAAGCAAACGCCGCGTTACTTGCGTGAAACGCGCGTTGTTGCGCTGCAATTACAGCAGTGCTTCAAGTGTATATGCTCGAACAACAGGCGCCGATCGAATCCTGTCCGCGAAGGCTCGATCAATGGGCATCGGCCGTTTTTGTCTCGAATCTCGCCTACCATCCTCTTCCCTCATACTCTCGCGAGACTGAGGCTGACGCCGTCGACCTTCACGCGACAGTAATCGATCGGCCGCGACGGTCTATGCCGCCTTACGTTTCGCGTTCACAGCCACCTGTTTGACTGTAAGCAACGCGCGTTGAGCCAGCGCGTTTGAGTCTGAACGCTGCTAGCGCTTTGGCTCTTGCAGCAGAGAGGCAGAGCGCGACTTCTCGGCTATGGTATCAGAACCGATGTCAGCTACATGCCTGCTACTGCGGAAACTCGCATCCAACATTTGCCTTCGAATTCTGTGTGCACTCAAGAAAGATAGTCACAAAAGCTCACGGGCCGATCAAAAGACATCCATCAACAGGACATGTCGTTAGGCGCAGTTCGGCGACGAGGGGGGGGGGGGCATTTTGCACTATCATTGCTTCCCTAGTTCCGGTTTACAAGTCTCACTCTGGCGAAACCTGTGAACTCTTGTGAAGCTGGAGCAAGGTCGTCAAGCCATCATGGTAAAACCTGTCAACTCGAGAAGAGGCTGTCTAGATAGGTCGACACGTCGATGGGAAGTAGCAAAAGTGCAAAATGCCCCCCGTCGCCGAACTGCGCCCATGTCGCTCTTTGGGGACTCCTAAAAAGGGAAGTCGTATTTCATCGCTGGAGGGAAGGGGTCGTGACCATCTATGAGAAAATGTTTCCAATTGTTGATTTTCCTTTTTCCCGTTTCAAATGCGCTATATAATCTCATACGATCCACAAATTTTCTTGAGAAAAGTGCAGGAAATGGGGAAATCAAGGAAGATGGTAGGTAGGATGGCGGTAGAGAAAGAGGGCTGTACCACAGAGAGAAATTCTCAGAGGTCAACTTTGCAGTCCACGCTGGCCATACAGGCGGAGCCGGCCCTAGCGACGTATTTTAGCCGCTGTAGACGCCATCATTTTCAACACATTACCCCGCACCGTTTTTGCTGCGATTCCCGTTTCAGTGCTAACCGGGCGCGTGCATTGCTGACAATGCACCCACACACAAGACGGGAGTCTTTCTCCCGTCCGCATACCACTAACTGAAAATCCTGCTGAAGCTTCGTCTGAAAGGTATTTTGAGGGACTGATCGCGGATATGACAGCTATTCTCGAGCCAGCCCCAAAATAGCATCAAATGGACGCAATTTCGGGCCTATAGAATTAGTGGGTGTGTTCTTACAGATCAGCTTGTTTTTACAAATTTTCAGTAAGTTTTCGAGCCACGAAGTAATAATGGCAGAATCATCTATGAAGAGGAGTATAAACGAAAATTATGAAAATTCTCAAAAGATTTATGAGGAAGACTCACGCGAAAGTCGATCGGGTGTCTCCTTGAAGAGAATTATGTACTCCCTCATGCATAGATCGGGAACTAAAACAGAAGCTATTCAGTCTATTTGGAAGTTTTTGGAAGTTGTTTTGGGAGTTACAGCTCCTAGAGCAAAAGGAGTGCCAAAGTGGGCCAAACTTACTTTCAGTACAAGCCGGTAATTCATCACCCTTTCGAGAGCATGCTTTACGACTGACAAGCGGATCTCCACACTCGCACTTGAACACCTTTTCTTCTTCTGGCGTCAAAAATCGTGGAGCATTCCCAGAAAGTGACAGGTCACCTGCAAGAGTTACATATCATAGGGGAATTTTTTTTGCAAATTCTGAAGGAATACTGGAGCTCAGCATCCCGAGGAGGGCCCTTCGTAGACTGCGGAAACCCAGCGAGAGGGGTCGTATTTGCTCCGTGGTGGGAGAGGGGGGGGGGCGTATTTTTGCCTTTGAGAAAAACGTTCTCGGCTGCTGACATGCCTACCCCCTCCCCGCACCGCTCGTATTTTTGGAAAAAAACCGAAAAGTGGAGGAAGTTGGGACAATTCAAGAAGACAGGAGGTGTTAGCGAAGGATGGCGCGTTGGGGGTCGTATTAGAGGAAGAAACTTGGAAAAGCGAAACCGGCAAAATTTTTCCCCAACGGCAGGACGTGCTGGAGGGAGAGTAAGCAGTGAGACTAGGCCACAGTTCATTCCTGCTCGGACGAGCTCACTCAGCGAGATAGTTTCCGTTGAGTTTGGTCTGTGACAATGAGACTGAAATTGGCCGAGCTAACCATAATAGAGGTGCTGAGGCGAGAGAGGAGTTCGGTCCACTGCCCCACGCAACTATAAAACCCCCTGGTATTTTGTGGTTAGTTTGAAATAATGTTGACTCACATATATAGCTATTTTGTTCGAGCCATTTGTACAAATTTGGTTTTACCAGTGACCAACCGGTCACCCACAGTATCGAGGACAACAGCAGTTGCCGCATCCTGCAAAAAGAAATGGTTACGGGGCTGTTGTCAACCAGACGTGCTCTCGCTGCGAGGGTCCAGGGGTATTTTCACGAGGCATCTACCAGTCCAGTAGTTGAAGGGAGAAGGTAAAGGAGGAGGGATCAGAGAAGGAAGGAAGGAAAAGAAGGAAGGAAGAAAAAATGAAAGAGAGGAGAGGCTTCCCGGTTGACAAGTGCCCTGAGACGAAAAGAAATTGCCAGTACTACTCCGGTAGCTCTAGTGACAGGAATTCCACTCAGGACCGTCAATTTTCATGTGAAATACGGTGTAAGAGAGGTTGCTGAGGGGAGTTTGGCCCAGTGGATTCCTTTCTTGACCACTGTGGATATTTTAGAAACCTGTAAGCTTTTGGGAAGCTATGCAGCAGCACTAGCTTCGTTTACTTTTGACAAGGGTTTACAGGTCTCAACAAGGTGAGACGTGTAAGTTAACAAGAACCAGTAAAGATACTAGCGAAATAGAGAAGTGCCCCCCCCCTTTCCCCTAAGCCGAACAGCGCCGGCTGTATATAAGAATCGGAAGCTAGAGCGAACGCATCGTTACTTCCGTTGAAAAAAACTGTGCAGGACAATGACTAGATCCAATTCTCTGTGAAAAGCGATACACTGAGCTTCGTGGGCGCGATCAGGCTCGGTGAGGGCACCAAATGGTACTCAGCAAAGTGAACAGTCCGCCTTTCGAAGAAATGGGAATTTATGACCAAGTGAAGGTGCAAAATGTCCCTCTCAAGCCAACCGCGCCGCTTCGCGGTCTATAAACAGTCACGAAAAACACGAAAACTGATACAGAGAATTCGAAAAACAAAAGAAAACATAATTAACTCCAATCCCTGTCACAAACTGCCACAACTGTCGGGTGGTAGGAGAGGTTTCAAATGTTCTCTCTAGTGTAGTTATGCAAAAGTCGACTAGGTGTCTTATTGTAAAACTGTAAATAAAAGCAGATGTCGGTGTGCACTCTCCGTACCTTGAAGGTGGGGAGGGCGTGGCTGCGTACTTCTGTAAAAAAAGCAGAATGCGCTTTTCACACAGCTCCAATTAGGACAACTATCATTCTGTCCCATGTTGAACAAAAACATGACTAGAATTGTCTTAAAACGGCAACGTTCCATCAAAAGCAGCCGCTACCACGTTCAAATGAACCACAAGCCACGCCCTCCCCATCTTCTGGATATGCAGTGGAAAACAGCCGAAGATCCGAGCCCACCGGTTACATCTTGACTTCCCTTCTAGAGCACATCGTAGTCACTCTTGCCACGAAATTCGTCTCAAAAGCCCTTCGTGACTCCGTTCCTGCGACCACCAACTGTCCTTTAGA